GGGCGAAAGCCCACCTACCGGCCCAAGTCTGATTTTGGAAGCTCGGCCCCTGGGGGTCCCAGGACTGAGTCTGGAATATCAAGGGTCATCCCTACGAGCTTCACAACCTCCCATCCCTGCCACCCGGTCCACTCGGCAACTGTAGGTCCAACCGCATTTCACTGCTGATCTTACAGACTTCTCGGGGCTCAGGCTGGATTCGGCTGTCACTCGCCGACAGATGGGGGAGACCACTGAGCAGCCCTGTGGTGATGCTCCACCTTGAGTTGACAGTTAAAGTTAGGCCATTAGAAACCGGGACAAATGATAAAAACAAACTCCGACAATGCACTGGACACAGCCTATGGGCTGCGGCAGTCACAGTAACCTAAACATTCAGGGCTGACCCTAGTCTAACCTGAGAGCAGCTCTTTTTAACGCTCCGGCCGGGCCCTGCACACCCCGAAGGCTGCAGAAGGTAAGCAAGGACAGCCTTCACTGCTCTTCCCCACCCACACTGCTAACAAACGGCTCAGGGTGGGCCAATCCCGTTAACATTTAGGTGGCAGGAAAGCCATAAACTGGGATTCCTTCCTTACCAAGACACCTAATCAATCTTTGAGAGATCAGAGAGCCCATTCCCTCATCTCCTTCAAAGTAGGTACTGTTTGTAAACTGCGCAAGGCATTTGAATTAGTGTAACAGCTGATATGTATTTTTCTTTCCCACAGGGAAGAGAATGTGGCAGATTAATATGTGCTCTGTTCTGACCCATGACTCAGTTTCCTCAAACCTAACTGGATTTATCTACCTCAACTCTATCCCAAAGAACCTGCTGTGATGGTGGGAATAAAAAAGTTCTATTATCCGTGCTGAACAATATGGTAAACATATGGCTATTAAGCACTTGAAATGTTGCCAGTGTGAGAAACTGAATTAAATTTAATAAATTTAAAGTGCCATATGTAGCTAGAAACTACCATATCTAACAGTACAACTCCAAGTGAACTAGCTAAATGCATTTCCATAACATAGGGCTATGATAACCCCGGGGAAACCACCTTCATAGCCTTGCTATAAGAACCCAACCACTACCCTCTTACATGCAACATATATCTCTTTCCAGAAATAAAACTGCCACGTAAGGATTTAGAATGATAAACATCCCCAAACTTAATAAGAGGGGGAAAAAAATTTTTTTTCTTATTTTAAAACAAATGACAAGTACCGTATTTGCCGGCGTATAAGACGACTGGGCGTATAAGACGACCCCCTAACATTTCCACTCAAAATACAGAGTTTGTTATATACTCGCCGTATAAGACTACCCCCTCTTCCGCATCGGGAGGCCACTATGGCACGGGGCAAGCACTATGGGCAGTCTATCTGAAGTGTACCTGGCGTATAAGACGACCCCCCACTTGGAGACATATTTTTCAGGGCCAAAAAATCGTCTTATACGCCGGCAAATACGGTAAACATATACAGTGCAAAAGCTCAAAATAAAAATGCCCTAAAACAGATGCTAATATTCATAGGAATTTAATACATGATAAAGGTATTACCACACATCAACAGAGAAAAATGGCCACAAATAAAAAGGGTTATCACCCTAGCCAGTTTGGCTCAGTGGATAGAGCACCAGCCCACAGACTGAAGGGTCCTGGATTCTACTCCAGTCAAGGGGACATACCTCAGTTGCAGGCTCAATCCCCAGCCCTGGTCAGGGCTTGTGCAGGAGGCAACCAATCATTGTGTTTCTCTCACATCAATGTTTCTCTCTGTCTCGCCCTCTCCCTTCCACTCTCTCTAAAAATCAATGGAAAAAATATCCTCTCATGAGGATTAACAAAACAAAAAAGTTAACAGAAATCACACACTTAAAAACACATCTCTGGATGTCAAAAAAAAAACACCACACACACACACTAAAAAAAAAAACAGCTGGGGTAAATTATTTGCAATAAAGGAGAAACAAACTAAAGATTAATGTTCTTAATATATAAAAAACTCTTACAGATTAGGAAGAAAAAAGTTCAAAAAACTGTCAAAGACTGTAAGATGAGAACCAGGAAAAACACATTTTCATTAATGTCAAAGAAATGCACATGTCATTTTTCACCTATTAAAATAAAAAATATAAAATATCCACTGCAGCCAAAAGTGCTGACATTTTCATACATTGCTTGAAGTACTTTCATACATTGCAAATTGGCAATTCATAATATTCCTTTAAAAAGTTCTATCTTATTTTTTCTTAAATATATTTTATTGATTTTTTACAGAGAGGAAGGGAGATAGAGAGTTAGAAACATCGATGAGAGAGATACATCGATCAGCTGCCTCTTGCACATCTCCTACTGGGGATGTGCCCGCAACCCAGGTACATGCCCTTGACCGGAATCGAACCTGGGACCCTTCAGTCCGCAGACCGACGCTCTATCCACTGAGCCAAACCGGTTTCAGCTAAAAAGTTCTATCTTTAATAATTCTGTCAGATGTCAATCTGCTAAACAAATAACCAGGAATATAAAAAGATAAGAATCTTTATCAACAGCATTTATAAAAAAAATTGCAAATGACAAGGGCCAGCCACAGGGGATTAATAAAATAAGTAATGGCTCATCTGTTCGAAGGAATGCTATAAATTCAATGTTTTTAAGGCTATTTTAAAATCATTAAGTGAAACAAGTAAACTATACTGAATGCTTTTCCCAGTTACATTATGATAAAAATATAAAATACCAACTGCCTCCCCTGCTCCCAGAATGCCCTTCTCTGCTCCAAGCCATCCTCCATCACCACCTTTGAAGCCCTTCTCTGAAGCTCTAATCTACTCCTATCCCTGCCCTTTGGTTGCCAGGCCTTCCCCACAGTAAACATTTCTCTGCAGATCAGTCCCAGTGATAGAAGACACTTTTATAATGTCTTAGTCTTCTTAAAGGACTTTTCCCCAATACCTAGCATCCTTCTCTGCTACTTCAGCCAGCTCTCAGGACATCTAGCTCTGTTCCTCCAAGCCCTACCTCCATCCCAAAGAGCTTCCCTTCTTTCCTACTTATGAATGACTGAATGAGTGATCTAAGAGAATAAATCCAATTCTGATCAGAGAAATCAAATTACTAAGTTTAACTCCAGATGATATGACAGGATACTTTTATTTTCTTTCCATTCTTCTATTCTCACCATATTTTCTGCAAGAGATGCATACCATGTATACTTTTATAATAAGGAGAGAATAAACAAACAGAACTGTTCTTTCTCCAAATTTCAACCCGCCCCTAGGTTGAGATTAGAGATATTCAAATCAGTGTGTGATTTCCACATGTTTTGGAAAACATTTAGAACCTACAGTAGATCCAGCCTCAACAAGTAGCCTCTGGCCACGAAACAGCAGTTCTCTTTCCTGGAATTAAAGATTAACACAAAATTAAAACATATCTCAAAATCTTGTCTGCAAATTGCAGACGAATTCGTAACAAAACCTGCCCAGAGGGCTCACAATACTATTATACAAGGTTGGCTGTGGTCTTCCTCTTTTCACAAATGGCCAGATTGATGCATAGCATGTTTAGCTACAAACGCCTCTGCTGACTCTCCCTGCAACATTTTCATGGCTCGCCAATAGATCTGTCCGCAGTTCTCAGGTCTACCAAGGGGGTGGTTCAATTCTTCTTTGATGTAATCCATCCAAAGATCTTTAAAGGGAACCAAAAACTTACTATAAACATACAATTAGATAAAGGATGCGGCTTGATTAGGTAAGCTTAATTATTTAATATCAATGTACTACAAGATTTCTAAGAAACTTAACTTCTTGTGATTCCCATAGAACCCTATGTGAAATAATACCTCTCTCATCATCTTTGTGCTAGATATATCAAAACTATTTTTTTAAGTAGAAAACTTCACTTTAATCATAGTAATCTATATATTTTACAAACTCAAATAGACTAAATATTTTGGAGGCAGAATTTTGTTGAGTCTCTTTCAAGGTGAAACTGACCTCAATGAGTTCACTATAACCCTGTTACCATGCTTAACAAAACTTGTTTGGGTTAGTAAAAAGTTTTTTCATCCACTCCATCAGAAGGTCTGTTGAAACCTCTTAAGAACTAATGCATTTTTTAAAATGTGGGTTTAACAACTACACATGTCAGTTTTTGAGTGCGAATTTACATGCCATACCTACACCCAGAAGTATGGTTTGCAAGTCCTATACATGAGGACAATGCGGCAACAGTCATTGACAACTAACGTCAATTAGCGTGCCACCACCCCTTTACTCTAACTCCCATTCCTTTTTGTTCTGACCACATTATTAACCTTTCCCTTACAAATGCCACATTTTTTAAAGAGAACCAACCAATCAAATCTTCCTCTATTCAAGAATTAATAGAAGACCTATGGACTCTTGAGCTTGTGAACTTGAAATTATAAGTAAAGTTTTACCTGCAGTACTTATGCACCAAGTGAGGGAACAGGCAGGGCAAGGATGCAAGTTTTATTCTCAAAGAGGGCCATGACCCAAAAGTTAAAAACACTGTTTGTTCTAACCACACTGATAGGTTACAGATCACACATGCAAACAGACTTTTGTGACTATAGCTAAAGTTTACTTACCAGAATCTACAGATCCAAACTCTCTCAAAGCCCTCTCATAATATTCTCTCAAGTTCGCCATTTTGCAGGATTCCTAACAAAAATAATCAGACAATCTTGCCTCAAAACCTTAACTTATGATGTCACAAATTCATTTCAACCACATTATTAAACTGCTACCATCTATTAGGTACTTGAAGGAGAGGAGGGCTGGGGCTTAAGATGAGCATAGCCTGGCTTTCAACTTACTCAGAGAAAAGTCATAAGCATTTACTTCCGGAGTGAAGTAAAAGTTAGTGATAGGAAGCACTTTGCTATGGTAGCATGGAAAAAGCCTAATTAGTTCTCAGTGAGAGGAATACGGAAGCTTCACAGGAAAGTATATTTGAAAGCCCTGAGGGAGGAGTAGGATTGAAATAAATAAATGCAGAAGGTTCTACTCCCTATGGCTAGGGATGTCTTCCTTTTGAATACCTGGCCTCTAGCACAGTGGTTCTCAACCTTGGCT